TCCTCTCTCTCCCCCCTACCTCTCTTCCCTCTCTTCTCCTTCTTCTCTATCTTCTCTTTCTCTCTCCTCCCCCCTCTCTCTCTCTCTCTCTATCTCTTCCCTCTCACTCTCTCCCCCCCCCCCTCTCTCTCTCTCTCCCCCTCTCTCTCTTCCCCCTCTCTCTTCCCTATCTCTCTTCACCCCCCTCTCTTCCCCCCCTCTCTCTCTTCCCCCTCTCACTCTCCCCCCCCCTCTCTCTCTCTCCCCCCTCTCTCTCTTCCCCCCCTCGTTCTTCCCTATCTCTCTTCACTCTCCCCTCTCTCTCTATCTTTTCCCTCTCACTCTCTTTTCTCATTCTCTCTCTCTCCACTCTCTCCCCCCCCTCTCTTCCTCTCTCTCTCCCCCTCTCTCTCTTCCCCCCTCTCCCTTCCCCCCTCTCTCTCTTCCCTATCTCTCTTCACTCCCCCCTCTCTCTTCCCTCTCTTTCTTCACTGCCCCCCTCGTCCCTCTCTTTCTCTCTTTGTCCACTCTCTCTTCCCCCTCTCTCTCTTCCCTCTCTCCTCTCTCTCTTCCCCCCATCTCTCTCTCTCTTCCCTCTCCCCCCCCTCTTTTTTCCCCTCTTTTTTCTCCCCCTCTCCCTCTCTCCCCCTCCCCCTCCCCCCCTCTCTCTTCCACTTCTCTCTCTCCTCCCTCTCTCCCTCATCTCTTCTCTCTATCTCCTCCTCTCTCCCTCTCTCTTCTCTTCCTCTCTCTCCCCTCTCTCCTTCTCTCTCCCCTCTCTCCTTCTTCTCTCTCTCTCCACTTCTCTCTCTCCTCTCTCTCCTCCTCCTCCTCTCTCCCTCTCTCTTCTCTTTCTCTCTCTCCCCTCTCTCCTTCTCTCTCCCTCTCTCTTCTTCTATCTCTCTTCCACCTCTCTCTCTCCTCTCTCTCCCCTCCCTCTCTCCCCCCCCTCTCCTCATTTCTCACATTGTATAGGGCTGCACACACACCTGCACCAAGGGCTGCTGATCTCTGGGCAGCAGGAAGGGGGGGGGGGGAGGAGGTGTGTGCAGCCCCATAGATCTGTCAGCATAGGGATGGAGGCAGGGAGATCCCCTACAACACAGCACAGCTCACCTCCTCCGGGCTCTCCTCTCCCTGCTCCAGGCTGTCCTCTGGTCCTGGCTCGTCATCTGCTGGAGGGAGAGGTAAAGGAGCAACTGCCCTCCCCCACATCAATCCTCCTGCTGTCTTCCAGGCCACTGCAAGAGTAACGAAGGTACCCCTCTGATGGCGGCCCTGCCTGGCTCTGTCTGCTGCTTCTCACGAGGTCCCTTCTTCTGGGGGGGGCGGTGGCGCCCCCCTAAAAATTGCAAGCCCTAGGCAAACGCCTTGTTTGCCTCGCGGTAGATACGCCCCTGGCTACAGTAGGTGGGGGGGGGGGGGGGGTGCGGCTGGCGGCAGAGAATTCATTAAGGTAAAATAACCTTCGGCCTTTACAACCACTTTGAATCAGGCAAGCTTGCTTCTGCAATGCTAATGGGGGAGGGGGTGCTCAATGCCTACTGTGTCAGGGAAATAAGTCAGGATGTTGGAAAGCAAACATTGGGAATATTTTATCCAGGCTTCATAGGTGAAGACATTTATCAAAGTTGAACTGTTGCTGAGCACTGCACCATCACATCACTCCCTATTAGTGGAGTCATCCCAGCAGGGCAGACATTGGAAGATGGTGTCCTGTAATGGTGCCAGTCGGTGGGCCCTTCACTACGATGATTCCTCTGTCAGTGTGACCACCCGTGATTGTTGATGTAGAATGTACATGTGTCCAGTTATACATCTGAGTCTGCAATGGTTGTGACTTATAAAGCCATTTCCACTCATTGAAGGGGATGTCCAGGTACCTTTGGCCATAAAGTCCCATTCTTTGTCTACTAAACAAATGCTGAAATATTGCTCAGCTGCGATTAATTGTCTGTAATCATTTTGTAGGTCATTCAGGGAGATGGATCTGAGGGCGCTGGTAGTGTTGCTGTTGGTGGTCCCCGCGTCTCTTGCACAGGAAGGTAGGTGGTAGAACCTTCGCACACTTACTGCTAGGGGAAATCATGGATGTGTAATATTCTGTCTTCTCTGCCATTCATATACTTCTCTGTTTTTCCATCTCTTTGTTTATTTAAAATGGTTCCACAAAGAGGAGCTCAGCTTTTTCCACTTACCCATTGGATGCTCTGCTCATTCAATTACAGCCCTTAGATCACCGAGTTCGATAGGAGAGGCGGGGGCTGGGTGAGGTCTGAGCCATGACCTGAATTTAGCCCTATGGAGACAGATGACTTGTTAGGGGTGGAGCTGTGCAGATGTCCATTTGGATCACTCAGCACATAGTCTGAGTGGAGTGATTGGCTGGTATTGGGCATGTCTGGATGCCAGGAGTCCGGTGCAGCAGTCCTCTGCATGGAACCAGAAACAGCCTGATATTAAAAAGGTCCCCAAAGTGACCTTCACGTTAATTTTTTTTTTTTATTTCTGACTGGATTGTGGGAGGGTTAGACCCTATGCCATGTTTTTATTGCTGCCTCGGAGCAGAATGAGCAGAATGAGCAAGTGATGTATCCAGAACTGTGGATTTAAAGCCTGAATCCCTTTATGAAGTACACTGCTCAAAAAAACTAAAGGAACACTTTGAAAACACATCTGATCTAAATGGGGCGAAATCTCCTGCTGAATATCTATACTGACATGGACGGGGGATGGGTGAGGAACGTAAGGATGCCCCATCGTTTGATGAAAATGAAAATGATCGACCTACAGAGGACTGAATTCAAATATACCCAGGGGCGGACTGACAACTCATGGGGCCCCCGGGCAATAGGGGATTATGGGGCCCCTGTGTCCTTGCGCACACTCAAAGCACACCCAAACAAGCCTATAAAAAGTACCAGGGGCATTTCATGGGGCCCCCTACTGACCTTGGGCCCTCGGGCAGTGCCCAAGTGCTCGAATGGTCAGTCCGCCCCTGAATATACCCCAAAAATCAAAGTGAAAAAATGATGCAGCAGACGAGTACATTTTGCTGAAATGTCATTGCAGCAACTCAAAATGGTAACCAGTAGTTTGTATGGCCCCCACGTGCTTGTATGCATGCCTGACAATGTCGGGGCATGCTCCTAATGAGACCACGGATGGTGTCCTGGGGAATGTCCTCCCAGATCTGGACCAGGGCATCACTGAGCTCCTGGACAGTCTGAGGTGTAACCTGGTGGTCTCAGATGGACCAAAACATGACATCCCAGAGGTGTTCTATTGTATTTAGGGCAGGCGAGCATGGGGGCCATTCAATGGTATCAATTCCTTCATCCGCCAGGAACTGCCTGCATACTCTCCCCATATGAGGCTTGGCATTTTCATACACTAGGGGGAACCCAGGACCCCCTGCACCAGTTGGAACCCAGGACCCACTGCACCAGGAGGAACCCAGGACCCACTGCACCAGGAGGAACCCAGGAACCAATGCACCAGGAGGAGCCCAGGACCCACTGCACCAGCGTAGGGTCTGAAAAAGTGTCCAAAGATTTCATCCTGATAACTAATGGCAGTCAGGGGGCCATTGTCTAGCCTGTAGAGGTCTGTGTGTCCCTCCATGGATTTGCCCCCCAGACCATCACTGACCCACCACCAAAACAGTCATGCTGAACCATGTTACAGGCAGCAGAACGTTCTCCGCGGCTTCTCCAGACCCTTTCCCGTCTGTCACATGTGCTCAGGGGGAACCTGCTCTCATCTGTGAAAAGCACAGGGTGCCAGTGGTGGACCTGCCAATTCTGGGGTTCAATCGCCAATGGCAATCGAGCTCTATGGTGCTGGGCAGTGAGCACAGGGCCCACTAGAGGATGTCGGGCCCTCAGACCACCTTCATGAAGTCTGTTTCTGATTGTTTGGTCAGAGACATTCACACCAGTGTCCTGCTGGAGGTCATTTTGTAGGGCTCTGGCAGTGCTCATCTTGTTCCTCCTTGTACAAAGGAGCAGATACTGGTCCTGCTTCTGGGTCAAGGACCTTCTACGGCCCTGAATAGCTCTCTTAGAGTAACTGCCTGTCTCCTGGAATCTCCTCCATGCTCTCGTCTCCTGGAATCTCCTCCATGCTCTTGAGACTGTGCTGGGAGACACAGCAAACCTTCTGGCAATGGTCCGTATTGATGTGCCATCCTGGAGGAGTTGGACTGCCTGTGCAACCTCTGTAGGGTCCAGGTACGGCCTCATGCTACCAGCAGTGACACTGACCCTAGCCAAATGCAAAATGAGTGAAAAAACAGTCAGAAAAGATGAGTAGATAAAAAAAATGTCAGTGGCCTCCACCTGTAAAATCATTCCTGTTTTGGGGGTCATCTCATTGTTGCCCATCTAGTACACCTGTTGTTAATTTCATGAACACCAAAGCAGCTGAAATTGATTAACAACCCGCTCTGCTACTTACCTGACCAGATCCATATCCCAGGAGATTCATTGACTTGATGCTAGACTCGGATTACAAAATCTTCCTTTCATTTTTTGGAGCCGTGTACAATAATAAAACCTACTTATATCAGATCTAGTGATATATCGCTGACTGTGCTGTCCAGTTTATATATCTGATATATCTGATAGTGTCCTCTACTTCTACAACTGAGGCCTCCACTTTAATTAAAATGCTGCTGGAACAAGTAAAACCCTTTATTGCCAAACTGAGAAGATGGAAAATGTAAAAATAAAAATAACTGATTTTCCAGAGATATGAGTGTATTTCATTATTTATTTCTATCATCAATAAATACATTTGGAGTTTATTGTTTATCATATAAAGCTTTGATCTGTAGCAGTAATGAGTTTTGTCTGTTTTCTTCCCCAGACTTGGAGGGTAAAATGTTTTTCTTCCCCAAAGAAACCAACACAGCTCATGTGATTCTGAGACCTACAATTACAAAGCCATTGCAGAAAGTCAGCGCTTGTCTTCATATCTACAGTGAACTTTCACGTGGCCATTGTCTCTTGTCTGGTGCTACTTCACAAAGCCCTGATGCTTTACTGATCATGTTCTACCCTCCAAATGCCTATAACGTATATGTAAATTATATAGGCCAAGGAAGCAATGCTTTCAAGACAGACTCAGAGCCTCTGGACTGGAGACACACCTGTGTGACTTGGGACTCTGATACTGGGTTGGTCCACCTTTGGGTCAATGGAAAGCTCTACCCTGGAGGAGTTTCTGGTAAAGGGTCTTCTATCGAAGCTTCAATCAGCCTTATTCTGGGACAGGAACAAGACTCTTATGGTGGAAGGTTTGATGCTACTCAGTCATTGGTTGGTGAAATAAGTGATGTCCACATTTGGGATTATGTCCTGACTCCAGAAGACATTCAGAAAGTCACCTCTGGCGATCTCCATGGAAATATCCTGAATTGGAAGTCTCTACTCTATGAAATAAAAGGGGAAGTTTTTGTCCAGCCTAAGAATTTGCGTAAGTGTGCCATCTTATCTATTTACTCATTGTGTATGGGGCTATGTGGCCGCAGACTGGTCAGGGTGCCCATGCCGACCCGTGTCCACAGCCAAAAGTATCAGAACTGGACCACAGAGCCATGGAAGAAGAAGGTGGCCTGGTCTGATGAAGCCATGAATGGTTTGAGGAATACGAGTTCAAGATGTTGACTTGGCCTCCAAATTCTCTAGATCGCAATGCAATCGAGCATCTGTGGAATGTGCTAGAAAAACAAGTATGATCCATGAAGGCCCCACCTCCAAGCTTAGGATCTGTAACTGATAGCTTGGTGCCAGATACCAAAGCATAACTTCAAAGGTCTAGTGGAGTCCATGCCTCAATGGGTTACGGTGGGTGGTCCTTCTTTCTGTGTCTGATCCTTGTTCTAAAACTCCATCAGTGATAGAAAAGTCCCTTATTAGCCAACTGAGAAGATGACTGAGGCAAGCTGCCAAAACACTTTAGTTACTGGATCTGAAAGCCAAATATACACAAAACAAAAAGGAATAAAATGATCTTCCTGAGATATCTGAGTGTATCAGATTGTTTTGTACTTTAGATTTTACCATCTATAAATAAACTCAGAGTTTTATCGTTCAGAATCTAAAGCTTTGATCTGTAGCAGTAATGAGTTTTATCTGTTTTCTTCCCTAGATTTGGAGAGTAAAGTCTTCGTCTTCCCCAAAGAAACCAGCACAGCTCATGTCATTCTGAGACCTGAAATTACAAGACCATTGCAGGAAGTCAGCGTCTGTCTACGTTCCTATACTGACCTTTCCCGCCCCTATACTCCCTTCTCTCTTGCTACTCCCGGGAAGGACAACGCCTTTCTCATCTACTTACAGCCCCCAAACACTTGTTTTGTACACATCAACCAGGAAGACACTTATTTTAAGACAGACTCGGAGTCTTTGGACTGGAGGCACATCTGTGTGACCTGGGACTCCAACACTGGAGTGGTCCAACTTTTGGTCAATGGGAAACTCTACCCCAGAAGAGTCTCCATGAAAGGGTCTTCTATCGCAGCTGAAGGCAGCATTGTCCTGGGACAGGAACAAGACTCTTTTGGAGGAGGGTTTGATGCTAAGCAGTCATTTGTTGGTGAAATAAGTGACGTCCACATGTGGGATTATGCCCTGAGTCCACGAGATGTACAGAAGGTCATCTCTGGTGGTCTCCTTGGGAATGTCATTAATTTTAAGTCTGTAGTTTATGAAGTCAAAGGGGAAGTTCTCATCCAGCCCAAACCTTAATACAATGAGCTTATAATGTTCAACTCTAAATGTCGCGCTCCCAATATATTACAAATATCAATCAAATCAAAATAAACAATAAAACAAATATATCACAAATAACCAGATAATAACACCTTGATTAAATTATAACAATAATATAAAAAAAGGTGAATCTCAAAATAATCCCCAAAAAATGTGTTATTAGACAGAAAACGTTCCTTTTATCATACAAAATTACAAGAGAAAAAAAAAGTCCAAAAAAAAGTGATTGCGTGATCCAAAATGCAATAACAGATAGGCTTATTGCGCTTTTTGTTCACATAAATGGAACCTGCTGTGATTTGCTGCAGCATAACATTGGTGTTGGGTGTCTCCTAAGTGCTCGGCAGCACTTGCCTCCTTGTCTGCTCGTTATCCCTGCAGGGATCTCTCCCTCCTTCAGCTGCTATGAATCTCCTCCTTAATCCTCTCCTAGATATTCATGGTGTAAAAACAAACAGAACTTTGTAAAATCAATATCTTTGTCTGTGTGCCTCACAGCCTGCGTACTCGCCCTTATCCTCTAGGTGTCACTAGAGCACTTAGGAGACACCCAACACCAATGTTATGCCGCAGCAAATCACAGCAGGTTCCATTTATGTGAACAAAAAGCGCAATAAGCCTATCTGTTAGGCTTGCAAGGAGGTGAGCGCACATCTTTAACATTACAAGGATTCACAAGGAGGTGAGCGCACATCTTTACCATTACGAGGATTCACAAGGAGGTGAGCGCACATCTTTACCATTACAAGGATTCACAAGGAGGTGAGCGCACATCTTTACCATTACCAGGATTCACAAGGAGGTGAGCGCATATCTTTACCATTACGAGGATTCACAAGGAGGTGAGCGCACATCTTTACCATTACAGGGATTCACAAGGAGGTGAGCGCACATCTTTACCATTATGAGGATTCACAAGGAGGTGAGCGCACATCTTTACCATTATGAGGATTCACAAGGAGGTGAGCGCACATCTTTACCATTACGAGGATTCACAAGGAGGTGAGCGCACATCTTTACCATTATGAGGATTCACAAGGAGGTGAGCGCACATCTTTACCATTACGAGGATTCACAAGGAGGTGAGCGCACATCTTTACCATTATGAGGATTCACAAGGAGGTGAGCGCACATCTTTACCATTATGAGGATTCACAAGGAGGTGAGCGCACATCTTTACCATTATGAGGATTCACAAGGAGGTGAGCGCACATCTGTACCATTACAAGGATTCACAAGGAGGTGAGCGCACATCTTTACCATTACGAGGATTCACAAGGAGGTGAGCGCACATCTTTACCATTACGAGGATTCACAAGGAGGTGAGCGCACATCTTTACCATTACGAGGATTCACAAGGAGGTGAGCGCACATCTTTACCATTACGAGGATTCACAAGGAGGTGAGCGCACATCTTTACCATTACGAGGATTCACAAGGAGGTGAGCGCACATCTTTACCATTACGAGGATTCACAAGGAGGTGAGCGCACATCTTTACCATTACGAGGATTCACAAGGAGGTGAGCGCACATCTTTACTATTACGAGGATTCACAAGGAGGTGAGCGCACATCTTTACCATTACGAGGATTCACAAGGAGGTGAGCGCACATCTTTACCATTACGAGGATTCACAAGGAGGTGAGCGCACATCTTTACCATTACGAGGATTCACAAGGAGGTGAGCGCACATCTTTACCATTACGAGGATTCACAAGGAGGTGAGCGCACATCTTTACCATTACGAGGATTCACAAGGAGGTGAGCGCACATCTTTACCATTACGAGGATTCACAAGGAGGTGAGCGCACATCTTTACCATTACGAGGATTCACAAGGAGGTGAGCGCACATCTTTACAATGACAAGGATTCACAAGGAGGTGAGCGCACATCTTTACCATTACCAGGATTCACAAGGAGGTGAGCGCACATCTTTACCATTACAAGGATTCACAAGGAGGTGAGCGCACATCTTTACCATTACGAGGATTCACAAGGAGGTGAGCGCACATCTTTACCATTACAAGGATTCACAAGGAGGTGAGCGCACATCTTTACCATTACGAGGATTCACAAGGAGGTGAGAGCACATCTTTACCATTACGAGGATTCACAAGGAGGTGAGCGCACATCTTTACCATTACGAGGATTCACAAGGAGGTGAGCGCACATCTTTACCATTACGAGGATTCACAAGGAGGTGAGCGCACATCTTTACCATTACGAGGATTCACAAGGAGGTGAACGCACATCTTTACCATTACGAGGATTCACAAGGAGGTGAGCGCACATCTTTACCATTACGAGGATTCACAAGGAGGTGAGCGCACATCTTTACCATTACGAGGATTCACAAGGAGGTGAGCGCACATCTTTACCATTACGAGGATTCACAAGGAGGTGAGCGCACATCTTTACCATTACGAGGATTCACAAGGAGGTGAGCGCACATCTTTACCATTACAAGGATTCACAAAAAGTCACAATTATTGCATTTTGGATCACGTAATCACTTTTTGGGACTTTTTTTTTTTTCTCTTGTAATTTTTGTATGATCAAAGGAACGTTTTCTGTCTAATAACACATTTTTTGGGGATTAATTTGAGATTCACATTTTTTATATTATTGTTATAATTTAATCAAGGTGTTATTATCTAGTTATTTTTGATATTTGTTTTATTGTTTATTTTTGATTTGATTGATATTTGTAATATATTGGGAGCGCGACATTTAGAGTTTTTTTAAGTTTTATACACACAGTATGAGAATGTGATGTTGTCAGCGATCCTTTTTCAACTCTTATTAGCGGCTCCCAAGTCATTAACAAATTCTATTGTGTTACAAGCTTCTAATGTTCACTTTGGTGTTGATTTAATAAAGACTAAGAGGCTGTTCACGTTGCAAGGCAATCTTCCTTAGTGTGTGAGGTGATGTTCGGCTGACTTCCATCAGTTGGTTTGGAGGCACATCTGTGTGGCCTTGAATCTCCAACACTGGAGAGGACCAACATTAGGTGAGGAGGAAACTCAGAGGTGGAGCTCTGCTGACTTCCATCATTTGGTTTGGAGGCACATCTGTGTGGCCTTGAATCTCCAACACTGGAGAGGACCAACATTAGGTGAGGGGGAAACTCAGAGTGGAGCTCTGCTAACTTCTATCATTTGGTTTGGAGGCACATCTGTGTGGCCTTGAATCTCCAACACTGGAGAGGACCAACATTAGGTGAGGGGGAAACTCAGAGTTGGAGCTCTGCTGACTTCCATCATTTGGTTTGGAGGCACTTCTGTGTGGCCTTGAATCTCCAACACTGGAGAGGACCAACATTAGGTGAGGGGGAAACTCAGAGGTGGAGCTCTGCTGACTTCCATCATTTGGTTTGGAGGCACATCTGTGTGGCCTTGAATCTTCAACACTGGAGAGGACCAACATTAGGTGAGGAGGAAACTCAGAGGTGGAGCTCTGCTGACTTCCATCATTTGGTTTGGAGGCACATCTGTGTGGCCTTGAATCTCCAACACTGGAGAGGACCAACATTAGGTGAGGGGGAAACTCAGAGTTGGAGCTCTGCTGACTTCCATCATTTGGTTTGGAGGCACTTCTGTGTGGCCTTGAATCTCCAACACTGGAGAGGACCAACATTAGGTGAGGGGGAAACTCAGAGGTGGAGCTCTGCTGACTTCCATCATTTGGTTTGGAGGCACATCTGTGTGGCCTTGAATCTCCAACACTGGAGAGGACCAACATTAGGTGAGGGGGAAACTCAGAGGTGGAGCTCTGCTGACTTCCATCATTTGGTTTGGAGGCAGATCTGTGTGGCCTTGAATCTCCAACACTGGAGAGGACCAACATTAGGTGAGGAGGAAACTCAGAGGTGGAGCTCTGCTGACTTCCATCATCGTGCCGCTATGAAATACTGCTATTTTCCTTGCATGTGATCAGTGTCAAGTTCAGAAGTATAGCACCATGGAAGCCGTGTGTCTTCAACATAAAGATGTTGAATTTTCTTTCAATGCAAACAAAACAGCACTTTCAGCAGCAACACGGAGCTGACTTATTCTCCAGAAAACATAACACAAAAGTCTACTTATCTTCATCACAAATATAAGAAACATAAAGTTCATATACGGGATTTACCCCAGGGTTAGCAGCATCCAGCTTCGGATATCTGTCAGGTGTCAGCACACAGCCAGGTCTCCTCTCAACTCATATTCCACCCACTAGCAATGGAAGCTTCCTGCATTATATGCTGCCTTCTTGAGGCTGCTGAACACCGTATGGACCCGATTCTCCATAGTCAGGAGTGGAGGTCCTTTTCCCACCAGAAAAATTTCAGGTCCAAAATAAGCCACTACTAACGCCAAGAGGAATGCAAGTCATTCCTCTCTCTTACTTAACTGTCCCAGAAACAATTGAGTACTGACGTGATACTTTTTTTATTTGCACTAACATACAATTTTGAGGACAAGCTTTCGGGGAATGTCCCCTTCTTCAAGGTCCAGGCGAGTACTGCCTGGACCTTGAAGAAGGGGACATTCCCCGAAACCTTGTTCTCAAAATTGTATGTTAGTGCAAATAAAAAAAGTATCACGTCAGTACTCAATTGTTTCTGTCGCAAGTGCACTAATACGGCTACAATCACCTCAAGACTTAACTGTCCCGGAATTTCTCACCCATCACAGGTGAGACCCGAATACATAAAACATTTTCCCTAAAAGAGACCATAGCCCAGAAATTGGTGAGATGTAGCAACCATCCAGGACCCATCCTCGGCATCCTGCACATATGGAACTCTTAGCAAAGTGAATTGTCAGCAGTGTCACAAAGCTAAATGAAAATTCAATGGCAAACTGAACCACCTGAGTGTCTTGAGTAAATAAACCCCTTTAAGATGCCCCAAAATGCTGATTCTGAATAAGATTGAAAAAGGATTTATTTGTCATCCATGTCAACAATGAGAGCTGACAATGACAATTAC